ACAAAACAGGTTGAGCAGAGTAAGTAAAGACAGTAGCAGAGTGAAAATTGTGGTCAGTTTGTCCTCCAGCAGTCTAAGCCTATAGCAGCAGGACTAAGGGACAGCTCAGGAAACCCAAGCCGACCCTAACTATAGGATTTAGCAAAAAGGAAAGTCTTAAGCCCAATTTTAAAACTGGATAATGTGTCAGCCTCACAGACAGAGATTGTAAGTTGGTTCCACAAGAGAGGAGCCTGAGAACTGAAAGATCTTCCTCCCATTCTGTTTTTGTAAACTCTAGGAACCACAAGTAAACCTGCAGTCTGAGAGCGAAGTGCTCTGTTAGGAAAATATGGAACAATAAGATCTGTAATATAAGATGGAGCTAGGTTGTTGAGAGCTTTGTAGGTTAGAAGTAAGATTTTGAATTCAATTCTGGATTTGACAGGGAGCAAATGGAGAGAAGCTAAAACTGGAGAGAGATGATCTCTCCCAGTAACTCCAGTTAAGACTCTGGCAGCAGCATTTTGGATCAACTGAAGATGTTTTAAAGAAGTATTTGGACACCCAGATAATAAACCATTGCAATAGTCCAGTCTAGACGTGACAAATGCATGGACCAGTTTTTCTGCATCATCTTTAGATCAGATGTTTCTAATGTTAGTGATATTACGCAGGTGGAAGAAGGAGGTTCTAGTAACGTTTTTAATGTGGGGGATAAAAGACATGTCCTGATCAAAAATAACACCAAGATTTTTAACATTAGAGCTGGAGGACAGATTAATGCATCTAAGGAGGGAGAAAGACTGAAACATTCATTCCTAAGGTGCTCAGGTCCAAAAACCAAAACCTCAGTCTTGTCTGTTCAACAGGAGAAAATTAAGGGTCATCCAGGTTTTTATGTCTTTAAGACATGCTTGTAGTCTAAGTAGCTGATTGGATTCATTGGGTTTAATGGACAAATATAATTGTGTGTCATCAGCATAACAATGAACATTTATCCCATGCTGTTTAATAACTTACCTCACTGACAGATCCTTTTGTGTCTCCATCAAGGATTTTAGTTCTGCAGAGGCAGAGCTTAAATGGGAGGTTCCGCAGGGGTCCATCCTGGGTCCCCTCCTATTCTCTTTATGCCTGCTGCCGTTTGGTGCTATTTTCCGTAAACACAACATGCCCTTCCACTTCTATGCCGATGACTGTCAAATTTACTTCCCCCTAAGACACAATGGCACATGCTCTATTCAACCTCTGCTCGACTGCCTGGCTGACATCAGGGACTGGATGCCTTTAAACTTCTTAAGTTTCAATGAAAAGAAGTCTGAAGTCATGTTGTTCCCTCCCAATGACACGATCACAAACCACTGCATCGACCTCTCCGCTCTAACCCTGTCAGAAAAACAAAGAGTCACTAATCTGGTCGTGATAATGGACCCTTCCCTGAAACTTAACAATCATGTAAACATGATTGTTAAATCATGTTTCTTCCAACTGAGGCCGCTGTCTAAACTGAAGCCCATATTGTCCAAAAATAACCTGGAGACAGTAAAGCCCCTTTTCCATTAGGACCGGTACGGGCCGACTGGACCCTACTTGGCCCGGTTCTGAGGCTTTTCCATTAGTACCGGTACTTGGCACCTGTTACTATTTTCAGTACCCTTGGTTCTGTGGTTCTAACCGGTACGAAGAGGTACAAAAACGTGACGTCAGAACACTGTCGGTCACGGATTGGTCGGGGGCGGAGTCGGGGGCGGAGTCACTGGATCCTTCAGAAACGTTTCAAAACAATAATCCGCCATTTGCAATTTCTCGGACTTTAGCAGCGGCTGGACTTATTTTAAAGATTTTAAAAACAATACTGACAACATCTTGGTCTAATGCTGATGTGCTGGCATTTTTTGTGCTTGGTGGCCGACAACATAATTTAGAGCAAGCTGGATGGAGCTCTGCTGGTCTACCCCGAGCCTCCAGAGCCTCGGAGCACCAGACCGGGCAGAGCGTCATCTCCCCAGCTCCAATTTCAGCTGGTCACTGCGGAAGAAGGTTCGATGTGCCGTCTCGGAGGCTCGGGTTCCGGATACCAGCCTTGTGTGCTCAGAGCTCCGCTGGTCACTGCGAAGCTGGAGATGGGGACTCGCAGATGGACGTTGCCAGACCCCGGCCACGCGTAATCATGAAGGCTGAATCCCGATCCCACCCAGCAGTCAGGCGGACGGTGGAAGCGATTTTTAAATAAAATAATATTTTGGTTTTATACAAAAAATGTTTTAAAAAATTGCTGAAGCGATTTAAAAATGATTCTTTTTTTTACACGTAAAATGTTTTTTTAAAATCGCTTCCACCGTTCGTCGCAGACCCGTCTCTGCCCGCCTGTCTGCGTGGGTCGAGCCTTCATGATTACGCGCGGCTGGGGTCTTGGAACAGCCTCTGAGTCACCAGCTGAGCTGGAGCTGGGAGGATGAGCCTGCCCGTCTCCGGAGGAGAGAATCGTCATAAAAAACAATATATTTATATATATTTTAGCGTTGAAGATTAAAAAAAATAAGTAAATAAACGGTGCCAGCTTCATCATGAAATCCTGTTTTCACTTTAATGACTGTTAACTCAGCTGAAAATCATAAAAAGACACAAAACTATTGGATCTCAGAAATATTTCCCTCAAACACGTTTAAAGAAAAGAGACGACCTTCAGTTCAACTTTATTTTAACTCACAAATGTACAAATCACAAAACAAGAACTTTAAAGCAAAGCTAAAAATAAAATGTATATATGTGAACAAGAAAGAAAACCACACATCTAAAATGAACATTAAAAGTAGACACAATGAGTGCAAATACATCAAATGATGATGAAAACCTATAA